ACTCGACCAGTCGGTTGATTGAATTCTCGTCCATGGACCAGGCTTCAATCAATTCGCGGCTCGTCTTGGTTCTGGTGTGGACGAGTATCCTGACGGCCGCAAAGTTGAACTCGTGGTCTGTTTCATAGGAGTGCGATGCAACTTGTGATAATTCGTCGCCTAGTCGTACCGCTCGCTTATGTTCATGTATGCGCGATCCTAGCATGCGTTCAGTTTGCCTTGTATAGTTACAAGGACAGCTTAAGCACGGGGCCACCTTTATTACGTGGGCCAGGCTACTGTTTCGGTTTATATTAGAATAACTCAGGATTACGATATGGACAAATCTAGCCTTCTTAGCATTAAGCACAGTACTACCTTGGGCCAGGCGTTTATTTTTCCGTGTCCCTTTAGGGGGGCCACATAAGTCATTATTACCGGTAAGCATTCAATGAAGACGTATTGGACTCTTTCGCTTGTGTCAGACTACCTCCCCGTCATATTAATATTATGTAGTTCATGAACTTGTAAGGTAGAGATGGCGCGAATTACATCTTCACGATGTTGGGCTTTTTTCAACTTCCCCCATTATATAATCTGACCGACCGGGAGGGAGGTTAAAATCACTCAGTAAAATAACTATGTTTTTTACACTGAACACTAACATCAACACTTGATTTTTCAGGGCTGGTGATACCGGAAATTTGCTTGATAACGTCTTGGGCCGTATGGAGTACTACGCCAACAACTTGGAAGACCTTGTGAAAGAACGCACCGCCCAGTACCTAGAGGAGAAGGGCAAGGCTGAAGATCTGCTCTACTCCATGCTTCCAAGGCAAGTTTCTAAGACTTTTTACATATTCTCCCTTACCTGCTGATCTTTGGCAGTCTATGTACTCCTAAAAACCCCAATCCTACCATCTGATTTGAAACATGTCTAGTCATTCGGCCTGGTCGGAAATTCTGGACTGAACCCCCGCCCCGACGTATTAATGCTTCTCCAGATTCCCTATTTGAGTCAGAATTCGTGGCATATGGACGTTTTGTGGGAATTCGGGGTTGTGGTGTGGTTTTTGTTTCCTCGTCCGCAGCCTCAGGAAAGCAAACCTGCTAGGTGGTGATCCGTGCTGCGAATGACATCATTATTCTGCAAGCGGACGATTGGGGGGGGGTGTTCCACTGTCTTATAGAGCTGGACAGACAGTCACCTGTCCACCTGTAGTCACCTCATGAAATCAATGTGGCATTCTTGTTAGCAGGAAATTCGGACGCAGTGTCGTCGATCAGATGGCGCACAACGACGAGAGCCTAAGAAAAAGCCACCTGATTTTCTCAAGATGCACGAAGAGAGCGCTGATCTCTGGCGCTACTCCAGCTTATGGACTGAAAATGACCGTTTTTGTGTCTCGAATTACTGATTCAAACACTGTGACAAGTTCGTCAAAAACAGCCTTGGCGAAACTTAAGGGGGTATTTCTCCTGCTCAAGGAGATCATCACGGTGCCTTTTCATGTAACTTCCGTCTATACTTCTATCCCCGTGATTTGGTAATCTAGGTTATCGAATTACTCCGGCAAAGCACATGCCATGCAACTAAGAATAGCTTCCGTTACACTTAAGTCCTACATCTATTGGCGTTCTGTTGCAAAAAAAGACGTCACGTTCCACGAAACAATGCACAAGCAGGTAAAATTCATGTCAATGAGTTGAACGATGTCATAGTCATGGTCAAAGCAGTCCTGCAACGGCTGGAGTCCAACGCCACAGACAGACATGCGGGCTGATATGCGGATGTTACATTGGTCGTCATCGAACGGCAGGATTAGGTACTGACTATCAAGGCACATTTGAGCGTCCACTTTCTGAACGTGAAAATCATAACTGAGGAGGAAGAAAACGGTCAGTTGGCATGCGTCTAGTGTCCTGACGCAACAACGAAGGCTGCGGTAGCTTAAAAACTAAAATCTTCAGGAGGGGTGGAGATGGATACCAAGTATGGAGCTTCATCGACGACCATCCCGTCAACTACAGGTGTTGCTGCTGCTCAAGGACTCACTATGGGTGCGTTGAGAAGAAGTGCTGCAAATCGAAAGATAAGTGGTTGTGGAGTTTAAATATTTTCGACGGGGTGTTCAAAACGAATGCACCATGTACGACCATTTGTGATTTACATGGAAGCTACTAATTGTTTATCGACTGGCGGTATCTGATGCTCCCTGTGCGATTATGTCATTTTCAAGATTATTGCTGCAACGGTCGCCTTTCCTCAGCTGCTTATTTGAACTTGGACATGGATTCCTACCTTTTTGATCGATTTATGATTTGAACTGTGACGAGTTCTCGGGAGGTTGTTTACGATACCATTTATTTCAGTCCCCCTAATAGCCTGGAGTTCATCCAACTGTTTCATTTATGTCCTTGGAATATACGTTTTCTGGAGCTTTAACAGTAACTGAGGTCAGGCACAAGCGAAGAGTTTAATTCGCTGTTGTCTTCAAACACAATTAGCCTACAGGAAAGTATGTCGAAACAGTTGTTTCCAAAGATATAATTTTATAGGACTCCTCCTCCCCTCGGGCGAATAAAGGTGCGATTGCGCTGATTTCCTCGAAGTGTACCTGTTCCCTTCAAACAATAATTCCTTCACGAATCTCAACCGTAGCCCAAAGCTCCTAACCTTAATCTCAACCCTTATCGCCCTGGAGTTAAACGCCAGGCCACCAGGATCATAAGGAGGATTTTCTATCCCCGTTTCTCACCCACAACTTTGCCAAAAGCAGCCTTTAAGCATACTCGAATCTCATTTTTTTCAGGTCTGTGGCAAGTCAACTTATAAAAAAGGAGGCAGTGACTGCTGAGAGCTTCGAGTTAGTGACCATTTACTTCAGTGATATTGTCGGATTCACTTCGCTCTCCGCCGAGTCCACTCCCATGCAGGTAAGCCCTTTAGCTGCTCCTTAAATCTTACGGACTTTTTTTCAACGCGATGCGTACTCCATTTGCCCCAGCCATTCACAGGGCTCGATTTCAACTAGGGGTTTCTGAAACATGAAATTTTTGAATTGTAAATCAGAGCCACGCGCATGCAATACAGTTTGCAATATTCCCGTGAGCTTGTGTCGTTGGGACTGATTTCTGCATTGATTGTATAGAAAGCGGAAAGACGTTCTCTGGGACTGTATTTTATTTGTCCGACGTTTCGCACTCTTACTCGAGGCTATTGTCAAGGAATAAAAAAATGTACAATTCACCGTGTATTTAGCCCAAATCTGCCGGGAATGACCTTCAGCTCTGCTATTGATTTTTTTGCGCAACGCGAGATAGGCTTCAGGAAGATCGATATGCCTGTTAATTGAATCTGCGTGCGAGTGCCATGCTTCCTGCAAGAGGCTTGAGATTCGGTCGTCCGACTACCTCTGCAATAGCCTCCTATCACTGCAACTTTTATCATCTTCATTATTGAATAGCTCATTTGCCAATTGAACGGTGTTGGTCTGGGATGGATGAGCTTGATATTGCCAAAATTAGCTTTATCATAAAAAACATGTCTACCCATCCCTATTATGCCTGCTTCCGAACGTGGGGTTAATTGGACGCGTCATTTACCGTAATCGAATTGTTGCATACCGGTATTTGCGAAGTCTACCAATTCTTCAACTAAATTCTTATGACCCCTGAACTCTTCTCCCACACCGCTGGCGGTAAACGTTCCGTTTTCATTTTATGCCACTATCGTGGCTTCCTTTTCTAAGCAGCCTAAAGTAGAAACGGTGGGTTAAGACTCTAAATGACGCATCCAGACGCGCATGCAGATGAGGATTAGGGTGCGACAATCGGCTCACCCAACCTACGCCCTTCACTGCTGCTGCTGCTGCTTATGTTTAAATGAATAACCTTGAAGGTGGGCCTCGCTTCTTGGGAATTTTCGTCAAAGTTGATAAGAGTGCCAT